GGTTTTTAAACTGGATTTTTCTCCAGTTTAATCAAGGACAAAGCTCTACTTCAACAGAGGCAGAAGCATCCCGTGAATCTTCAGTTACCCATAGCTTTTTCTAAGTCCCACAAAGAAGGGATAATTCTGCATCTTTTTAGTTTATGAGGCACACTGGAAGATGCCGCAGAATATTTAGCAGGCAATTTGTGCTGTCATAACAGATCTTTGGCTTGGCTTCTGAATCAGAAAAGTCTGCCTTGGTCTGGAATAGTATGTAAAAATGAACTGTTTTGAATCTATTTGAATATTTAGAGAGTTTATTAAAAACTTCATAGATCTGAAGTAAGAGATGCAATTTTGTTCTGATCTGCACAATGCAAAAATTGGAAACATGGGACAGGACTATATCCTCTTCTCTCTCTTTTTTTTTTTTTTTTTTAATAGCAGGAAATCAGACTGTACTTTAACATTTACCCACAGTTTGCAGAAGATTTTAGATTATCCTGTGTTTTTAACAGGTGACAATACAATTTAGCTTCGTCAGGACTAACAACAGTTCTGGAAAGGAATATCACATCATTGCATTCTATATTTAATAATTTATTTTGATTCACAAAAAGCGCTCCTCTCAGGATGCTCTTGATAATTTTAAAGATTACAGCAATTATAACAGCTCAATAAGTACTTCAGCTTCATCTTCTTTAGTCAACACATTACCAATAAAAGGAAAAAATAAACATGGAAATGTTTCTCCAGTCTTTCTGAATTTGGAGTTAGGACTGTAGCAAACAACATGGCCACTGTGGCAGATTCACAGGGTTAAAATCTGTCTTCTTCTTTTTATTGATTTGCTGCTAGCTCAGAAGGATGGCTAAGCAACTAGAGCATTTTACATCCATGCTTTACCACAGATTTCTTGTGTATCCTTGGGAAAAGGCTGAGATGCTACTCACACAGTCCCAGCCATGTAAATAAAGATTTAGCACCTTGGCTAAGTCACTCTGCCTGGCTTTGTGCTGCCCTATGGCAGAGCTGATACTGCCTCCCCAGATCCAAAGGCACTACAGAGTATGGCACATAGATACTCTGGTATCTTTGTGGGATCCACTCTGATTTTAGCATAACTAACACTGAGCTAGTGCTCAAAAATCCAGCTGGATACAGAATAATCTTTTATGGGATATCTAAATGACATATATACCAGTACATCCTTCTATCAATAGCTGAAAGGAAGTAGGGATTGGTTGCCTCCACTTTCCCAAAATGAGTGGGATGAATCCCTCTCCCGAGGTGCCTCTTTCTTTGGTGCAAGCTAAGAAGTGCTCCCAGGCCATGAATCACTGGGGCTGGTAGCAAAGATGCCCCAGTGCCCTGCACAGAAACAGTGCTGCCTGGAAGCACAGGCAGGTGTCTGCAAGAGGCAAGAGGAGGAGTTGAACTCCTGAATGTTAGCTAAAATTGTGTCTGGACTCAAGCTGTGGCATGGATATTTTGAGTACTGATGATTGAGAGGTTGTTATATGAAAATAATACCTCTAATATTATATCTTAATGAGTTCATAGAATCATAGAATCATAGAATTATAGAATGGTTTGGGTTGGAAGGGACCTTAAAGATCATCTAGATCCAAGCCCCCTGCCCATTAGACCAGGTTGCTCAAAGCCCCATCCAACCTGACCTTGAACACTTCCAGGGAGGGGGCAGCCACAACCTCTCTGGGCAACCTGTGGCAGTGCCTCACCACCCTCAGTGAAGGACTTCTGCCTTACATATAACCTAAATCTACCCGCTTTCAGTCTAAAGCCATTATTCCTTGTCCTCTCACTACAGGCCCTTGTAAAAAAGTCCCTCCCCACCTTTCCTGCAGGCCCCCTTTAAGTACTGGAAGGCTGCTATAAGGTCTCTCCAGAGCCTTCTCTTCTCCAGGCTGAATAACCCCAACTCAGCCTGTCCTCATAGGAGAGGTTCTCCAGCCCCCTGATCATCTTCGTGGCCTCCTCTGGACCCGCTTGTGCAGGTCCATGTCCTTCTGATGTTGGGGGTCCCAGAGCTGGACACAGCACTGCAGGGGGGGTCTCATGAGAGCAGAGTAGAGGGGGAGAATCCCCTCCCTCAACCTGCTGGACACAATTCTCTTGATGCAGCCCAGGACACAGCTGGATTTCTGGGCTGCGAGTGCACATTGCTGGCTCATAGTCACATTTTCATCCACCAATGCCACCAAGTCCTTCTCCTCAGGGCTGCTTTCAATCCAGTCCTTGCCCAGACGGTATTCGTGCTTGGGATTGCCCCGACTCCTGTGCAAGACCTTGCACTTGGCCTTGTTGAACTCCATGAGGTTCACACAGGCCCACCTCTCCAGCCTGTCCAGGTCCCCGCCCTCCAGTGTGTCGACCGCACCGCACAGCTCGGTGTCATCAGCAAACTTGCTGAGGGTGTGCTCAGTCCCACTGTCCATGTCACCAACAAAGATGTTAAACAGCGCTGGTCCCGACACTGACCCCTGAGGATCACTGCTTGACACTGCTCTCCACTTGGACATCAAGCCATTGACTGCAACTCCTTGAGCATCACCATCCAGCCAATTCCTTATCCAGCAAGTGCTTCATCTGTCAAGTTTATGTCTCTCCAATTTAGAGACAAGGATGCCATGTGGGACAGTGTCAAATGCTTTGCACAAGTCTGGTCAGTTGCTCTTCCCTTATCTGCCAACACCAACCCCACTGTAGAAGGCCACCAAATTTGTCAGGCACGATTTGCCCTTAGTGAAGCCATGTTGGCTGTTGCCAGTCACCTCCTTATTTTCCATGTGCCCTAGCACAGTTTCCAGGAGGATCTGCTCTATGATCTTGCCGGGCACAGAGATGAGAGTGACTGGTCTGTAACTCCCCAGGTCTTCCTTTTTTCGCTTTTAAAAATGGGAGTTATGTTTCTCCTTTTCCAGTCAGCAGGAACTTCACCAGACTGCCATGACTTCTCAAATATGATGGATAGTGGCTTAGGCACTTCATCCACCAGTTCCCCCAGGACCTGTGGATACACTTCATCAGGTCCCATGGATTTGTGCACCTTCTGGTTCCTTGTAGTTCTGGTGGTGAGTCCTTTTGTGCCCATACACAAGGGATAGGGCATTCAACTGCCTCTGCAGCCTCTCCACATTCCTTAATAGTGCAGAGCCCTTCGAGGACTTTGAGATATAAAAACTGTTAATGGGCAAAGGCTGGCAACTTATTCTGTTATCAAACAGCTTGCTGAGCCTACAGCTCTGTCTTCTGCTCCATGGAGAAGTTACTGACAAATTCCTTGTTCCTCTGGGAGTGCGTAGGGAAGGCACAAGGAGAAGGCTCAAGAGCTGCAGCTGAAGCAGCCCAGAGGTGCACAGATGATGTGGAAATCCTCCTCCTCTGCCGGGTAGGAACCACCTGCCCCAGAGGATGGGCAAAATGGCTTTTGGTCTCTGTGGGCAGGAATAGAAGGTGTAAAAAGGGTTGAGGGTTACAGATGTGGCTGATGCATCCTGAGCATTTGAGCCACAAAGCAAGCGCCCAGTAGAGGGCTTAAGCAGGCCAGTAAAGGAAAAGGACTCCTAAAAAAACCCGGTATGGATGTAGCAAGGAGAGAGCTGTCAGTGTGCAGTGTTAAGTACGGTAGTCATTGTATTAAAAAGACTTAAATAAATCCTGCAACTGAATGCACTGTCAGATAATTCACTGGAATTGCATCACCACAAATAAAAATGATAAATCAGTTTTTTAACTTCAGTCTTTTGAAGATTTGAACATATTGAAGGACACAGGGGTAGACAAAATGCATGAAGTCCATAAATCCTTCCTCAAAGAAATGTTTGCAGAAAACAGTTTGAAAACGTTGAAAAAACAATCAATTTGAGGATCAGGCCTCCTCTGCCCAGGCCTGTCTGCCCACCCCAAGAGCACCAAGAAAACTGGAAACTGCTAGTGAGAAAAATTGAAACTGTAACAATTTTCTTTTGCTTCAGTAACTTCTGTGTTACTCGAACTTCAGTTTTCCATCACTGAAGTGCTTGAGGGAATAAATAAACATCAAGAAGTGGTGGTGAGTGAAATAGTCCGTAGTTTGCTCCTTTCTCTGTTGCTCATGTATAATTGACTTTGGCTTTGATGAGGCAATACATTTTTATGACACTTCTCAGTATCCTGGGGAACACTTAACACTCCCTGGGCCTATAGAAATGTTTCCTTTTTATTTTGAAGAGTCAATGATTTAACTGTCAGGAAGGAGCATCACAGGAACTCATGATGAGGCAGGACTTTTGCCACTCCTGCCACCACCTGATTTTCAGACTCTTTGCTTTTTCCAAAATATTCGCAGCTGTTGACATATGAAGATTTTTCCATGTGAGTGGGTTGGATGTGACGTTAAACAGCTGGAAAAACTTTATAGAGAGGTGGGGAGTTGCAGCTGGGGCTGTAGGTGAGAGGTAACAGAAAGCAGGAGCTTGGTGGTAACAGTGTAGTGGCACAAAATCCTGAGCAGCCCGGTGCAGGCAGTAAGATTTTTTACTATGTCTCCTCTTGTCTCTCACCCACGCTTAAAAAAAAAAAAAAAAAAAAAAAAAAAAAAGTGTTTGGTTTTAGTGGACTGATTAATTTGCACCAAATTCTACTCAGGTGTAAAGTCACAGTTTGTGCTTCTGGTGATGATAACAGAGATAAAAATTAGCTGGGTTTTTTATTTTATTTTTACGGTGATCCCTGTCACCTGCACACATCTTTTCGAAGCAACACGAACTGATTAATCACCCTTCACCTGTTTTAATACTTGCAACTGACTTTCTTGGTACCGTTTTAAACGCTGTGCAGATGACACAGGGTGCATGTGGATATTCTGACAAGAGCAGGCTCTGGGTTTACCCGGCGTTATTTTTTTTCTGAGCTACGATGCGGAGCTTTAGCTTCAAGACGCGCCTATACTCGTGCAGTCACTGAAGTCGGCAGGCGGGACGCTCCTCCCGGCGCTAGGCCCGGCCCGGCCCGGCCCGGCCCGGAGCTCGGCCCCCTCGCCCCGCCCCCGGTGCGGCCGCTTCAGGGCTCCGGCGGGCGCCGCTCCGCCATGCCGGGCGGCGCGCGGGGTCTGTACCGGCGGATCCTGCTGCTGCACCGGGCGCTGCCGGCCGCCCTGCGGGCGCTGGGGGACCGCTACGTGAAGGACGAGTTCAGGAAGCACAAGGCCGCCGGGCCCGCCGAGGCCCAGCGCTTCCTGCGGGAATGGGAGGCAAGTGCCCGCACCCCGCGGGGCTCCGACGGGCGGGCGGGGGCGGGGGGGGGGGGGAGCCGCCTCCTTGGCCGCGGGCGGCTCCGAGCCCGGCCCCGGCTACCGGCGCCGCTTCCCGCGGCGGGGCCGCCGGTGCGCAGGGGAGGCCCGGGCGGCCGCCCCGGCGAGGGGGCCCGGCCCCTCGCAGCCCGCCCTTGGGCCGGCGGCCGCAGCCTCGCCCGCCGTCCCTGCCAGCCCTGCCGTGACCTGCCGCCGCGGCAGCTCGCCGGGCTCCGCGACCTTCCGCGGCCTTGAGAGCGAGGTGGAGGAACGCCAGTTCGCTCCTTCGCCGCGGAGTGCCGCTGGGGCGCGGGATCGTGCGCTCAGAGAGGCTTCCGCCGGCACCCGCCCCCGAAGGGCGAACGCGTTCCAGAGTTAGGAAATTCCTTGTAATTCCGCATCTCTGGGCAGGTTGTCTTCTGCGGTTCCTCCTTGCCTCATCTACGTGTGATTGTAACTATGCACCCACGAGTATACATAACAATGACGACAATTAGATAATTGGCTATCTATACATATATAAAAAGATATGCGCAGAATTATCTGTATAATTTATAATAATATGTGATATAAACGTGTACATATATATTTATAACTACATACATAGCTAATTGTATAACTATAATTAGCTAAATACATAGGTGTAAATAGCTTTCCCATGAGCTTTTTTGAGTGACATTTTTTCAGAGTGTTTTCTAAGTAAACAAGTATTGAGTGAACATCGCTTCTCTGCTGAGCCCCCCACTGCCTCTCCCCCTGAGCTTAGTGTCTGGTTTCACCAACGACGGAAAAGCAGATGGCTCATAAGTGATTAGGATGTAAAAAGTTTCACCAGCAGCAGAGGAGGGAGACTCTTGAAGCGCTTTCCCCACATGCCTGAACTCCAGCAGATGCTAAGCTATTAATAGACCTCAAAAAATCCACACAACAGGCAAATGTTATAGACAATTCACAGAGGAAAATCTTCAATTAAAGCATAAAAACAACTGCAAGAGGCAGATCTATAGACAAGCTTCTCATTAATTTTCATGCTCATTTAATAGTATTTTTGAATCTCAAAACTCTTTTCCTTTCTGTGGGAGAAAATTTTATTCTGCTCTGCCCTGGGAGCTGGTTAGTGTGGGTACTGTTCAGTGCCTCCTGGTTTGCAAACAAGAGTAATGAGGACAGATCTGAACCATCCTTTCTACCTTCTGCACCTGAGATCTTGGAGTAAGGCACCTCCATTACCCTTGCACCGGGGCATCAGGAACCAGCAGGGAGAACACTGCCTGGTATCCTCTTCAGAGGAAAGGAACAAGTGTATTTTAATTGCCTCTTGCCAACTGATAGATCCAGAAATTAGGAAAACTTGTATCTGCCTCTCAAATGCCTGATGCTATTGTAATTCTCAATTACTGTTTACCTGATATTGCCAAAATGTTTCTGCATCGCTGCTTCCAATTTTAACATGAGCTAAAAAGACAAGTTATGGATTACTATTTTCAGTACTAAAATCTTAAAGTAGTTTTAGAAGAGGAACAAGATGTTTATGTTGAAATATCTTTAGCCATTTATGTGAAGTAAACAGTGAAAATGTTTCTCAGTTTTAAAATGGTTTAAGAGTAGATTACAGGGAAAACTGGGGAAAAAAATTAGACTGTGAGGAACAAGTAAAATTTTGAAACCTGATGTTTAGTGCTATTAGATATGTTCAAGGAAAGGAAACTAATAACTGTTTTGAATGTGTGCATATAAAGATCTTTGCAAATACGTCTGTCTTCTAACCAGATGCTGGTAGATATTTAGCACATAGTTAACGTGGCCCTTTTCATCTTTAATTTTTGTTTTGTTCTGGGATTTTTTTCTCCCCCAAATAATATTCTGTTTCAAGGACGAAATTTAAATTGGACTTTAATGTTTTTGGCCCGTGGGACTCACTCTGCATTTTATGCTATGCTATGGCTCCCAACCCCTTGAAGACTTGAACTAGATAACTGAGGAAGGTGGATGGTAGATGGCTTGGATTAGGTAACAGAGAAAGATGCTCTAGTTCATGTTGGGTTCCTCTTTGCACCCTTCCTGGGCAGCAGGACACTCATTTAATCAGAAATAGGCTGGAGGTTCTAGAACAGTTCTTGCAGAACACAGCCGTGTACCTGCGAAGCGCCAGGGTCCTGAAGGGCGAATGAATCACACAGTTATCAATGTGTGAAGTTGTGATATGCTGCTTCACATACATGAACTGTAACTGTACTTCTTGCCTCCATATCTACTTTGTTTGGTTTGTCTGTTTTTGCTTTAATAAAAAAAAAAACCAACCAACCAACCAAATCACTGCAACATTATTACAAAATGATGTTTATATTCCCTGTTAAATTTTACCTTTTTTTTTTTTTGAAAAATGCAAAGTTATAGCTCTGTTAACAGTTTTTTGAGATGTTGCATATGTCAGACACTTTTCTTTCTGATTTGCTTGTTCATGAGGTACGCTTATACCTTCCTGTATGCACTTTACTGTTGTCAGTACTCAACTTCCATCTGGAAAAATTGTTTCCTCGTGTCTTCGATTGCATGCAGGGTATCTGGTACAGAGTGGCATGATGTTTCCTGTTACAGAAAAATAGTGTTCATAATTTTATATTAAAATAGTGTATCTTAATGTATATCACCAGAAGGTGAAGATTATGGATATGATGATTGCATGGATGTTTCCTGACTTTGAATAAGGACTTCAATATGAAATATAATCTTATTAAGCCACCCCATATGCTTTTCTGAATGAAAATTTCCAAGGACAACTTATTTTAGCAAGAAATTGCTTGACTTTTCTTAAAATTCTTGAGGCTTTTTTTGGATAGTCAGACCTCTTGTGTATGCTTGAATATACTAGTTTATAGTCTGTGTTTGGGGTATGCTTTCTTGTCCTCCAATTTGATTTGTATTTGCTAATTGTTTAGTTAACAGACCTGGCATTTTAATCACATTATGGTTGTGCCAAATGATTTTTTTTTTTTCCTCCTTGGTATTTAAAACATGATAATTCAAGGTAACTGAGCACATTGATTGTTTATCAAAGAAAATAAGCTGAGAAAATTCCCTTTTTTCCTTGTGAAACGTGGTGAAAAAGCTGTGGGATTTTGCTGTAAAAGCTTTAAAAATAATTGTTAAAGGAATCTTAATTTTACAGGGCATTCAAACAACTGTGGTTTCTAGTATTGCCATGGTTCTTTAATGGTAGTTTCTGTACTGTAGCTTTTGGGAAGATACGAAATCTCAGTGCAGGACCTGAATACTCAGCCTAATTCTCAGACAGGGGACAGGCATTTTGAATATCTTTACAGTCCACAAAAGCACAGGTGAAGCCTTAAAGGGAGATTTCAAAGATTAACTTTAAAAAGAAATGGGAGTAAAAAGGCTCCCGAGTGATACTGCCTTAGTAGGCAAGTGATTTATATTGTTTTCATATAAAAATAATGAGGAGGGATCCCCTTGTTTGCCATGCACAGGAATTGAGGGGTTTAGTGTTAGAACCCAACTGCATAGATGGCTAATGTAATTTTATGGGAAAGCTAAACTGACCTGTTTGCCTTTACAAAATAGGGAAACTATCCTTTGAATATTATTGGAAGAGTTCTTAAGTGAATAATACTGATAGAAGTAGTCTGCAAGTACGTATGCATTTATATAAAAGTAGAACAATGTAAATTCTTAATTTTTCCTATCATTGGTGTTGGATTAATGGTTTGTGTCTTGAAACCAGCTGGAAAGTATTAAAGGGGGATACAATGAAACAGGCTTGGTTGTTCAGGAACTGTGGTTGTTCAGGTAGATTCAAATTAAGTATATAAATTATTAATACATGTTCCTTTCTATTTTCTAAATATTTAATATTTTAATTAAAATAATTGGTACTCATTTACAGGAGATGGCTGATATAATTAGATTGATAGTGATTATTAGCTTGGAATGCTATTGAATTAATGTTGACAGCTATGGTAAGTGAATTAGTTCAACAGTCTTCTAAATCGTATGGTAGCTGATGAGAATGCTTACTTAAGAATAGGTAATACTAAGATAATATTGATTACTTTATTCCAGGTTACAAATGATATAATGTAGCATATTCACCTAAGTAATTTCACTAATCATTTTTTTTACATCATTTAAGTTAATTCTGCTTTTAATTTTGAAAATGACTGTTTCCTACTTAGCTTGTTTAAAAAGCCTGACCCTGTAGATTGGAAGGTCTGGACTATCTTGAGATGAGCAGAATCATTCTGCAGAATTACATGACATTTTCTCACATCTAATAGATTGAATAAATTGCCTTGGAAATGCTTTGGCCACTCTTGACTCTGAAAGCCTTTTTGTAAGCTTTCAAATGAACTGAGACTGATTTGGGAGCTGGCATCTGCTGCTCTATACTTGGAAGAAAGGTGACATTTTTTCATCCCTGATAACAAATCTAGGCATTATATTGGTAAAATTAAGGTGGAACTGTATCTTTCTGTCTGGGGATCCTGGTCACGTAGCCTCTCAAGAATGGCTAATTTTTTGAACTAGCATGATACAAATAATTGTAATTCATCAAATTTGTTTTCAGTTGCCCATGTCACTTGCAGTACTTAGTTTGCTGAGATGATTGTGGGATGGTCTCATGATATTTCCCAGGACATAGTTGCCCTGATACATCTTTTTCTGCTTGTGAGTGGATACACTTAGAGGATTTTTTGCTTCTTAATTCTTTGGGCTAGTATAAGCGTCCATCCCCTTCTTGTTTTATTTTTAAGCTTCTGGAACTCAAATGAGAATTTTAAGAGCAAATAGCCAAGGAAAGTTGGGTGGGTGGAAGAGGAAATTGTGGCCAGTACTGGAGTAAGACTAGGATGGGAATGGGATGTGTGGGTTGCCCTTTGTACTGTCTTTCAGCAAATATATAGGTTGCATAATTCTAAATCTGCTGCTGACTTTCTGTATTC